TAATTCGCCACCTATTTGCACACGGCGATTCTAGGAGGCTTATAAGAAATAAAAACACAATATAAAAGGATAATGATCATCATCATCTTCGGCAACAACACACACTCATATCAGTCATTCAATGGGTTCCATCCCACTCTGGGTTCCCCAGGCCCACTGGCAAAACCACATCTTCAAGATGTTCTGAAAGAGTGTCACAGTGAGGGCCAGTCTAATTTCCAGAGGGAAGACATTCCAGAGGGGGGGAGCCACCATGGAAAAGACCGTTCTTTTGGGCCCTGCAAGATGTACCTCCCTAGGAGAAGGGACCTGCAACATTCCTTGCCTCTCCGCTCTAGTGAGTCAGGTGGATGTGACTGGCAAGAGATGGTCCCTCAGATAATCTGGTCCCAAGCCATGAAGAGCTTCAAAGGTGACAACCAGCACCTTGAATTGCACTAGGAAGCAGGAGAGGTGACATGTACACAAGGAAGTCTGTACAAAACCATGTGGGCCACTGCATTTTGAATCAACTGGAGCTTCCAGATGCTTTTCAAGGGTAGCCCAGAGTAGGGTAGCCCAGGGTATTCAGCAGGTTCTGATCAGTTCTGGAGAACCGGTAGTGGAATTTTGAGTAGTTTGGAGAACCGGCAAATACCACCTCTGACTGGAGATTTTACAGTATCTTTCCCCTGCCATGCCCACCAGCCACACCCACAGAACCGGTGGTAAAAAATTCCACCACTGGGGGGATTTGAATCCCACCTCTGGGGCAGCCCCGTGTAGAGCACGTTGCAATAGTCTAGGAAATGCTTTTCCAGTGAAGATCAAGTATTTTAACCAACTTCTTTGCTGTTTCATGAATATTATTACTGATGCAACCATTTCATTTTGTTTACTTTATCATGCTTTTTTACTCAGGGGCATCTGTAAGAGGAAGTGATGTACTCTAATAAGAGGCAAAGTTTTGATTGTGCACATGTAACCACTAACTTGCCTTTTTGGACTATCCTACAGAACCCCTTTATTTACAGCTATATGTTTACACTAGCAAGATGCAAATTTCAGATTCAATTCTACTATTAATACTGAAAGTGCCAAAACTGATATATAATTATTTGTTCCAATCTGAAGATCTTTGTAAGAATAACAATTTAATGCTTTCTTTTTTTTCTTTTAATAGTTTGTAATCATTTATGTAATTTTTATGTTTTGTAAATCCTTGATATACTGTATTTTCCCCTCTTTTTTCTTCTTTCTTTTTTGTTTGGCTCCTTGCAATGCAACCTTTAGAAAAAGATGTAAAGTAATGAACACTAGTCCTTATTTGGCATTCCTTACAACAGGCACAAACAAATGCAGGGGGAATGCATGATGCATATTGTAAAACAGAAATAAAGGCAAATAACTGAAATGAAAGATGAGCAGGGCAGGGCGGGGGGGAATTAACTTTAAAAAAATACACCCTGTACCTCACTGGGCACTAGGTAAAATGATTTACTGATGAATGATTTCAGGAGATGACATAAATATTGTCTGTATGGGAATAATCACATGAGCCATTATTTATCTGGCAATCTATCTTAATCTTTTCCCTGAGGTAGATTCTACCACTATTACTCATCTTAAGAAGTACCTTACATGGCAGTAGATCCCATTGAAATGAATTATAGTATTGCTAGGGACACAGATAGCTATGCTTTTATGACAAGATCGAGAGATAAAAGCTGTATATATTTACCTAAGAACAGGACTCATTTAATCAATTCATTGAGCCATTTTGATTAAACTTATCTAGAATTACAGAGGAAATATATATTTATGGATACTTTCTGGAAAAAAGTCAGAAAAAATATAACTTTGTCACACAAGATGAACATTTCAGAAAATTGGTCTAAATAAGAGTAATTATCACAAAATCTAGATAACACAGGTACAAAAATCTATATAAAACCTATCTATACCATTCTATGAGTCCATAAAACATCAGGCACCAAACATAACCGATTGCTCTACAAATTAAGTAGCTCTCGTTGTATTTTAGAATGCTCCTACAACATCACCTTCATTTAAAAATAACAAGATATATGACCATTTGTCTGGATTCTCCTTTCTTTCTCAGTATTACCTATTTTATCATATACATTATCATGATAAAGAAAAAATATGGCCATATGTTCATCCAGAATATGTTCCAGTGAATATATGAAAGTTATTGATTAGTTTTTAATACAGTATAATCCATGGATTTTTGGGGCTAAAGAGCTTTAAAACAATATAGTCAACAATATGCAGGCACACATTGGCAAAGCCTGAGCTGTTTTGTTTTTCAGCTCAGGCAGACATTAAGATTCTGTTGAAGTAGTCTTTAAATTGCTTTGAAGCTAGGTAGGTGTCAACCCTGACCTGTCCCGCCGGCAAGTGATGGCTCTTACAAGCTCTGGATCAATATTCATAGCGGGTGTCCTGAACTGATAACACTATCCAAGACAATATCCCATATCAGTGTGGACAGCTGAGATATTGTACCATTAGTGGTGTTGTTTTAAATAACCTGATCCATTTCACAGTCTATATAATGAATTTTACCATTTAGATACTATCTTTAAGAAGAAGTGACTTGGAGCACTGAACAAATCAATGATTCAAAGACTCTTTGGCTTTTCTTAAAGCAGGCTATTAATTCCAACACTGCCTCTTACATATTTTCAAATTGCAGCAGGACAGAGATTGCAGTAGTAATAAACAAACCCCTGTACTTTACCAACAGTGAAAAAAATCCCCATTATCATTTAAGTTTGAACATACATGATTAAATCTCTGTTGTAGCTGTTCAAGATATGGCTCAGTCTACTTTGTTCTTTCAGTGACAAACTAATTAGGTATTGTTATTTGTATAAATGGAGGCCTGTATTAAATGAGAAAATCCACCTGTAGCCTAATTAAAACCACCATGCTTTGCATACTTATGGCAGAGCTTACCTCAAGGGTTACACATGAGTTTGATTCATTTTGCCTGTATTCCTTCTTTTACTTAAGTTTGATTAAGTGACATGACATATGAACCTAGCCAAAGTTTAGGATACTGCAAACATTATGTTTTGACTTAGAGTCTTAGCCAATGTAGCTTTTTAAACTGATTAATGGCTCAAGATTTTTATGATTCAATAAATCATTGTTAATGATTACTTAGCATGATACATAACCTAATCTGCATGGTACTTGTACCTGTGTGGGTTTGCAATATTGCAAAATCAAAGACCATACAAAACTGCCCAAATGTCACCCATCTAAGAGTGACAATTGTGTCATGATGTCATTGCCCATACGTGATTTGGGTTTTATTGCAGATGTATGAAACTGATAGAGTTACTGACACTTAAGGCTGGACAGGTTGAGAAAGTGTTATTTCTCACCTTCGTTAGCCCAGCAGGTAAGACAGAACAGTTAGTTGGACCAGCTATGGATCAGTGTTACGTTAGGCAAAAAATAAGTTTTCACATTACACAAGCCATACTGTCACTGTAAAGCATGTCTATGGAGATTCTCAATCATCCAGGTCATAGTTGTCACAAAGATGCTTTTTAAAAAGGTAACCGAATTTTTTTTCCCCTTAAAGATATTTTGCTTCTTATCCAAGAAGCTTCTTCAGTTCTGAAGCTTCTTGGATGAGAAGAAAAACATCTTCTAGCAAGCAAAAAAAAAAAAAAAAAAAGCCTGGTTGCCTTATGAAAAAGCAAGTTGGGGCATTATATAAAAAGTGGTTTCAGCTTAAACATATTTGAGTCCAGTCATCGTGGCTTACTTAACAAACCATGATTATGACAAACTGTGGTTTAGCACACTGTTTGAGCCTAAAGCTATTATTTTCTATTGGTTGACTTGGAGTGAGTTTCCTTCTTTGTGGTCCCAACAGTACCATGTCCTGGCCATCATGATTAGTAAGGAGTAGTACCTCGGCTTCACTTCCAGTCCATTTGCTGAAAGTCTGTAGAGATTCTCAGTCATCCAAGTCATGATTGTCCCAAAGGTGCTTTTTCAGGAGGCAACTGAACTTTCTTGTTTTTTCTTTTGAAGACGTTTTGCTTCTCATCCAAGAAGCTTCTTCAGTTCTAACAGGACAGTGGGGAATGGAAGGATTTATATTCCTTGCAGACAGCTGGTCATTTGCATCCTTTTGAAGAGACGTTGAAAAACTTGAAGGCTTATTTGTGTGCTCAGGGTCACCCAAATAGTGCTCCTGGTTCCTGTAGTCTGCAATTCCTCTGGAAATCCATTCCTATTCCCACACTATCCTCAAAATGGATTCAAATGACCAGCTGTCTGCAAGGAGTATAAATCCTTCCATTCCTCCACTGTCCTGTCAGAGCTGAAGAAGCTTCTTGAATGAGAAGCGAAACGTCTTCAAAAGAAAAAACAACAAAGTCCAGTTGCCTCCTGAAAAAGCACCTGTGGGACAGTCCCATTCCCTGGTTGGTCTCTGCTTCTCTTCGGCCGAAGGGGCGCCGGAGGAGCACAAAGAAGGCAGCCTTGCCGGCCAAGGAAGTCGGAGGGCTTCGGCTCGCTTGCGATCGACCGCCCAAAGGTGAACGCCCGACGGGATGAGGCCGTTGCAGTTTTTGAGGGAAGAAACCCCGCATCTGGGACAGATCCCCCGCCCTCTCCTTTGCAGCGATGCCCAAGAGCGGGAGAGGAGCATCTCCGGGGCTCTGAAAAGAAGATCTGAGCTGTCCGGAGAAGCGAAGAAGATGGATATCTCCCCCAAAAGGCGCATTGCCGACTCTCCTCCACAGAACCCGGGTTGCCAATCGACCGAGCGGCCCCTCATTTCACTTCGCCCATCGTAAGACTACCGAGAAGCCAACCATTATAACCACAGTACAAGTAAGTGCCGCAGGCATTGCAACCTGAGGGCCCGCCCGGCTTGAGCGATAACTACATTTCCCAGGAGCCTTCACAGTCAGGAAGAACGGGCGGGGCCTCTGGGGGCGGGGCAGGTGTGTGTCTGTAAGCAAGGCTCTAGCCGAGCTGGGGGCGGGGCTTGTCCGGTATGGCTGATGCAGTCTTAGCGGGCGCAGAGGGAGTTCTATTAGATATTAGTGGGGTGCTTTACGACAGCGGAGGCGACGGAGGCGGAGTCCCCATTCCTGGATCTAGAGAAGCTGTAAGAAAGTAAGTGGGAGGCCTGCAAGCCACTGGCTGCGAGGCTTTTTGTGGTGCAAGAAAAACCAACTCTTTCCCGCTATCGACCTAGCGGGTCCTGCTGGTGGTACCGGCTTGGGTGGACTTCTTGGGAGAAGTCCGCTCTTTCAGAAACGGCGTGTGTGCGTGGTTTCCGCACAAACCCATACAACCAGTTGCAGATGCCGATCTGTTAACTATAATTCAGTAAACCAGGGGTGGTTGGGGTTCAGCCAACTGTTAGCACCAAGCTGCACACCGTGGACTCCAAACCACACGGGAGGATGTCTGTGGAGACTCTCAATTATCCAGATCATGGTTATCTCAGACTCAAAGGTGCTTTTTTTTCCACAAGAGGCAACTGAACTTTCTGGTTTTGCTTTGAAGACGTTTTGCTTCTCATCCAAGAAGCTGCTTCAGGTCTGACAGGATAGTAGGGAGATAGTGGGGATCTTGTCAGAGCTGAAGAAGCTTCTTGGATGAGAAGCAAAACGTCTTCAAAGCAAAACCAGGAAAGCCAGTTGCCTCTTGGAAAAAAAATGCTCTTTTGGGACACAGGATAGTTTACATAGCATTTAAATCCAGTCTATTCCATACTATGCTGTGGGAATACAGGTTTTTTTTATCCCCTGCAATTAAGCCTTCCTTGTGGTGTTGGTACTTTGATGTGACAGAGTGACAGTGAACTATGATTCTATGGAGTGCTTTTATTAATCTGATTTATATCCTGGTACAGGCAAAACAGACCCCTTAGTGGCTCACTGTAACAAAACATGGTAAATACCCCTCTCTCCCTAGCAAATGATAATTACATTAAAAATATTAGTCTGGAATCCTGCACATGTTGATTTGGAGATACCTCTAGTTCCTTTCACTGGGAACCTATTTTGCTCTGATCAAATAATATATATTTTTGTGCTACATGGCAAAGAAGATAATGCAGTTACATGTAGCCCTTGACTTATGACCACAATTGAGCACAAAAGTTAAGTGTCCCATTTTATGATCTTTCTTGCCACAGTTGTTAAGTGAATCACTGCAGTTGATAAGTTAATAATCGGTTGTTAAGTGAATTGGGCTTCCCCATTGACTTTGCTTGTCAGGAGGTTTAAGGGGTTAATGTGACCCTGGGACACAGCAATGGTCATAAGTATGAATCAGTTGCCAAGCATCTGAATTTTGATCACATGATCAGAGGGATGCTACAAATGTGATAACTGCGAAAAATTGTCATACTTTTTTCAGTGCCATTGTAACTTTGTAACAGTCACTAAATGAACAATTGTAATTAGAGAACTACTTGTATTAAAATAGTAATATTCTTTTAGATAATGACTATAAGGAAAGGAAAGTTCTGTGTGTGCGTCTCTCCCTGACTTTTTTAAAAAATAAATTATTTTTTGCTATACGTCAAAGCATACACCATCGAAGTTGCAACACCTACAAGATTAATGAGTTTAAGGTGGTATTATTGCTGCCCTCCATATAGATAAAAGTCTATAGAGATTCTCAGTCATCCAGGTTATGGTTGTCCCAAAGATGCTTTTTAGGAGGCTTTTTTAGGAGACTGTTTTTTCTTTGAAGACGTTTTGCTTCTCACCCAAGAAGTTTCTTCAGCTCTGACAGGAGTTGAACCAACCAGTCTTTCCATTCCCCACTATCTGTCAGAGCTAAAGAAACTTCTTGGATGAGAAGCAAAACGTCTTCAAATAAATAAATAAAAAGTTCAGTTGCCTCTTGAAAAAGCACCCTTGGGATTCCATGTGGATACTGCAGGATCTTCTGATGGGCAATGTTTGCCCATTTACACAACGGGACTTGGTTTTGAGTAAATAACAAGATAGAGTTGTTTTTATCCAGTTCTTCTCAATTATTTTATTAAACACTGAACATTGGAAATACCTGTATTTTTCCCCTATTAATTTTGTTTGTGTGTGCGCATACATGTTCAGGAGGAAAGGAAAGATGGATATTTCTTCTTCGCTCTGTATGTATGATGGAGAGGCATAGAATGGAGGACTCAGCAGTATTTTGAATCAACTCTGTATTGGCTCCTCCTCCCGCCCTCCTCCCCACCAGGCCTTTAGTGAGGCCTTAACAGAATTTGGGAAATTTCTAGCCAGATTCTTTGGATCCTGCCCTGATTAAATGCAAAGAGTGATTATACTAACAGATAAATTGAGTCCTGACCCCTTTACACATTTCTTTTCCAACATCTGATGGGTTGGAAAGAGTAACGCTTATACTTTATTTATTTATTTTATTTATTTTGATTTGTCAATCGCTTACAAGATAATAGGTATAAGTATACTTATAAATATTGTAGTTTTTCTTTTGCTTTCTTGTACAGTAGCTGCTTTTATTTAATTAAGTTGATGCCCTCTGGACACATTGGCTAAAAGAATGCTACCTAATAGTTACAGAAACCATGCTGGAATCCACATAACAATATATTGTCTCCCCATACCTCCCTCCTGTTCATATTGTTATCTAGGAATGGACTACTGACTTTTTTTTTAAACAGGGAAGAACAATATATTCCTGTTTTATCACTAAAATAAAAAGACTGTCGAATACTCATGAAATATATCAAGAACAATTATGTTTGTCCCTTTTTATTATTTGTTTATTGGGTGTAATGGGGTATAATCTGCAAATACTAGACAAATGTTACAAGTTATCTAAATGTTACAAGTTATCCAAACCAAATTGACTGTTCTAGCATTGTACCTTTTTAGAAGTCTTTTTGTTCACATAGTTCTTTAATTTTTCCCCTCAATATTTTGAAAACAAGATATTGCTTATTGTTTGTGCTGTATGTACTACATTTTATAGTACAGATATTAAAATAAAGTCATACTTTACAGATAAATTTAAAAACAAAAGTAGTGTAAGTTATGTTGATTCAAATGTTACTAGGTTAGAGTCTTTAAGTGAAATGCAAGATGTTGAAATTCTGAAAATTAGCTAATCTGAATTCTTTATTTTGGATTAATATTTATTAAACAATTTGGATTATACACTTATTTGACCCCAGAGAAGAAAAGAAGAATACATGTTATTGCTTCTTTAGAATCTGCTTTGACATGCTAACTAATAATTAACTTCCTAGTCCCTGGAAGTTAAATCAGGAAACAGTAAAAATCTTATGGGTTAAATCTGCATTGGTAGAATTGGAGCTGACATCTACTTAAAGCCTTCTCAATATTTTTCCAATATGCCAATTATCTGGGAGATGCTAATAGTTTAAATAAGAAAACATGAATATCAGAATTGCTAATGGAATTTGTTCAGCCAGAACAATCAAAACAAGCTTTGGGAAGTTTTGTTCTCTTGAATGTACTGTATGTCTGGCTAATTTTGTTAAAAATGCCTGCATTTTATTGTCTTTCCACTGAAAGCATCACTGTTAATAACTTTGTATCAAAAAGTGTGTGTTGAGATATGTAAGCCATATATACTATAACTATACTTTATGTTAGTGGAAGTCATTTATCTTAACTTTTTTTCTTAACATTGAGGGGAAAATACTGTATAATTTATGGTTACATGAATCCACATGTAATTTTCCCCCTCTGCCTCATAAAAAGCTATTTTTATGAAAAGAGCTATATAAAAGAAAAATCTTTCAATAAGTGTATTGTAAATTAAAATGTATAATTGGCATATTATTCAGTAGTAGCTTATTCATCTACTTAAAGCCCATTGTATAAAACATATTTTTAAAAAATTAGGAAAAAAACCCTATGACTAAAATAATTCCTTTCTTACTTTTTCTGCTTGCTTTGTGTTCAAATAAGCTTCCATGGAAATCTTCTCCTTCTTCCTAGCATCATTCCTGCACTATGGCAGGATCCACTTTAAGCTTCCATGAAAGTAATCTTCACTAAACCTCTTGGGACATGGATAAGAAAGTATTTAGTATGTATTTGATTTGTCAATCACTTACAAGATACAGGTATAAGAATAAATATAGTTTTGAATACATGAGATAGATACTTATAAGAAAAATAAAAAGAAGCAATAGGACAGGGATGGTAAGCACGATTGGTGCGCTTATGTACATCCCCTACAGGCCTCTTAGGAAGGGGGTGAGGTCAATAGTAGACAATCTAAGGTTAAAGTTTTTGGGGTTTGGGGAAGAAACTACAGAGTCAGGTAGAGTATTCCAAACATTGACCACTCTGTTGCTGAAGTTGTATTTTCTGCAGTCAAGTTTGGTGTGGTTAACCTTGAGTTTGTATCTATTGTGTGCTCTTGTATTGTTATGATTAAAGCTGAAGTATTCATTTGCAGGTAGGACATTGCAATGTATGATTTTATATACTATATTTAGATGGGACCAGAGGCGGCGTAGTTCTAGGTTTTCTAGGTCTAGAGTTTCAAGTCTGGTGGCATAAGGTATTCTGCAATGAATAGAGGAGCGGAGAACTCTTCTTGTGAAATATTTCTGGACTTTTTCAGTTGTGTTAATATCAGATACATGATATGGGTTCCAGACTGATGAGCTGTATTCAAGTATAGGTCTAGCAAATGTTTTGTATGCTCTAGTTAGTAGTGTGATATTACCAGAGAAGAAGCTACGTAGGATTAGATTAACAACTCTTAATGCCTTTTTGGCTATGTAGTTACAGTGGGCTTTAAAATCGGATTGAAGTAGACTTTTAAGCAACTGCAAAAATGTAGTGATTTGTGCTGAAAAGAGAAATCAGAGTGGAAGTTGTTATAAGGCTTTTCTCTTTATAATTGATCATAAGAGAAATAATCTTTTTAATATGCACTTATTTTTCATGATTTAAATCCTAATAGAATGCATGTAGTTGTGAGAATAATCAGAGTCAGTTGCTGAATTTTTAATAGTAAGTTTGATTATGGATAGTTTACAAAGATAAACTAGTTATTTTTTTAAAGCAGCTGATCTTCAGCTTAATTGTCGAGAATGTAATACTTTGTGGCAAACATATATTGATTTATTTGAGGGAAAGTCCTGT